CAGGCTGGCTTTAAGCTCACTTTGTAGAACTCACGGCAATCCTCCTGCCTCAGGGTCCTGAGTGCTAGAATTACAGGTGTGCACCACCATGCCTGGCCTAAACATCAGTGATGCCTTTAGCATCATTGCCTTTATGCTGAACATACCACAAGATATATATCCATTTTCCGTAAAGTAGTTATACAGAGGAAAGACATTGGATACTTTTTTTTTTTTTTTTAGCATTTTATCAACTTACCTGTAGTCATTTTTGCTATAATGAATTCTTGAGAAGATTAGAATCTCAGGTGATTTTTCAAGCTCATATGTCTAGGTCCCCTCCCCAAGACATATATAGTTTGCTAAAATTATCTGTGTATCTTTGAGATTTTTTTTTTTTTTCTTTTGAGACAGGGTCTCACTATGTAGCCCAGGCTGGCCTCAAACTCATGGTGATTCTCCTCCCTCAGCCTCCCAAGTGCTGAGATTACTGGTATGCACCACCACACCTGTTGAGATTTTCTTATTTCTTAACTCATTCCACTAAAAAAATTACTTTTTTATAATCCTTAGATCTAGGTCTTTAGTATAGTAGTAACTTACCAGAAACCCATATGAGAAGAGTTGTTTTTTGTTTTTTGTTTTTTGGGGTTTTTTTTTTGTCTTTTTGAGACAGGGTCTCACTATGCAGTTTAGGCTGGCCTTGAGCTCACTTTGTAGCCCAGGCTGGCCTCGAACTTACAATGATCCTCCTGCCTCAGCCTCCCGAGTGTTGGGATTACAGGCGTGTACCACCACGCCCAGCTTGAACTCATTTTGTAGCCCAGGCAGGCCTCAAACTCACAGCAATCTTCCTGCCTCAGCCTCCCAAGTACTGAGATTATAGGTGTGTGCCACCATGCTCTGCAAGAACTGGAAAAAATCTCACAGCTTTCTCATGACCTATAAGAATTTCATCTGTAAAGGAACAGATGGGTTCCTTGGGTCATTAGATGAGCAAACTTGACTCTGTCTGTTCAGTGAGTGAAGATCTCACTTTGTCTAGTGGGAAGCACCGGGAGCCAGAGAATATGGCTGTGTGCTCCTGTTCACAAAGTATGTTTCTACACAGAGGCTTACATCTTAAAACAGACAAAAGATGACCTGCCTTAAAAGAACAGAAGCATAATGAAAGTATCCTCAAGTCAGGCAAATCTGAACAAGTACCCTTGAAGCTAAAAACTGGCTGGAAAAATGATTATCCATTGGATAGGCAGAGACTGCAGCAGTGCTTCACAAAAAGCCTAACTCTGCGAGCAACAGAGTCAGAAGCAGCCAGGGCTGGACTTGGCTGGACTCAGCGCCACTGACCCATGCGCCTGGTGGTGGGCAAGTGAGGCTACAGTAGTTACAGTCATGTCAGGAGGGCTTGGGCAGCTGAGACCATCAAAGGAGGATACTGAGGGCCTTTCCTGGAAAGAGCCCTTCAAACTGTGCTCTCAGGAA